TAATTCTGAGCTAGTATCTTTCAAAAATAGCTCAGAACTGAACAGGACTCATGAACAGTCTTTCATAGATGAGTTTAAGAGTCCTTCTTCTGAGTATGTCAGTGTTCCTGACATTACAGATATGTCTGTGGTGGAAAATTCATTTTCACATGGTTCTGGGAGAAGTGAAAACTCTGAAAATTTAGAACCTGCCAATAATCTTTGCAGAGACCCATGTGTAATGCTTAATGACAGTTTTCCCCAGACTCCTTGGAATTCACAGCCATGTGGAGATTTGCCATCTCCTGGAACAAGTCCTGAGGCAAGTGAAGTCCTTGAAATGGCAAACACCACAAGTAGCCTTTCAAAGGATATACAGATCAAAAGCTATTTGGAAGAAGACAATGTGTGGAGTGATTCGATAAATGATTATGCACACTCAAGTGGAACAAGCCCTGATTTAAGTGATGCATCTGTGAATGTGTGGGGAGACCTTCCAGTTGCCAGCCATCACAAAAGAAGTAAGGATATGTGGGATATTAAAAATAGTAAAAATCTTGAAGATACTTGTAGAAGAAACGAATTTGGGAATGAATGTGAAGAAGGGTTTGAAACAAGCGCTGAACAAAACAAAGTTCCTAGCAGCTTAGATTTTTGGAATGCCCATGTAGATGATGATACTGTATCTTCTTTATCAAGTCCTGACATAAATGAAGATTCAGAGAATTCAGCGGCCTGTCCAGAAGTGACTAATGAAGATTCCACAAATGAAAACAAACAGCACAAAGCATCTGAAATTGGAAAGGATTATGCTCAATCCATTGCAACAAGTCCTGAAGAAAATGAAGACAATTTAGATGCAAAATCTAAGGTGGGGGAGGAGGTGCAGGTAGGCATCTTTGATGAAAATCCTGAAACAAATAAAGCTAGGAATGTATTGGAGGAGGACTTGACTACAGTGGAGCATAGTGAGACTTCTGAATACTTAGGTCACCATGACACACTTCAGAAAAAAGCTCAGGTGAGTATTTGCAATGAAAAAACAGGTAGCAGAGAAGATTCATATTTGTATCAAATGAATGAAGATACTACACCAACTTCTGCTGTTGATGATAAAGAAGAGTATTCTTCAAAAGCTGTAGATATGTGGAGTATGGCATCTGAAGCTGATTTAAGAACTGATCCAAAATCCACGGTAGGAACACTTGGTTTTCCAGATGATAGTTCAGAATGGTGGAATTCAGAACCTTGTGAAGAAAAGCAATTGGAAGATCAGTATTCTGTTTCAAGTCACTCTGCAACAAACCAGTTCACAAATAAGGAGGATTCCTGGGGATCACCTTCACAAGATGAAGAACTAACGGAAGCACATTTCACTACTGCAAGTGATGGAAATCAGCCTGCCCCCCTGTACAGTGATGAAAAAGAAAATGAAAGGCTCGTACATGCTGTGAATATTCCTGACAGTCAGATAAATCAAGACACTGTACAGTGCAAACAATTTAATCCTTTCATGCTGGTTAAAGAAGAAGGGGGCTTGAAAGAGCTATTGTTTCATACAGATGAGGAAAATCAACTAACTCCACAGAATCCTTTTTCAGATGAGGAACAAGGTATGCCAAATACATCAGTTCAAGAAATCACTGTGTTGGATCTACCAAAAGACAATGAGGGACATGCAAGTCTCATTCCTCAAGAACAACAGCAGGACACCTGTGAAAGACTAGAAGTGCACAACTCCCCACCAGGTGCTTTCACTGTAGAAGACTTATCTTTTGAAATGACAGAGAAGTCAAGTCCAGGGTGGAGTATATTAGTTCCTCAAACTGCACTTGTCCCAGATATTTTACAGGATAACACGCAAGAAAGTAATCAGCTTTTTTCAGTGGAACCTGACCTGTGGACTAATGCTGAGCAGATTGTCACTTTGAAATCAGATGGTGAAAATCCTGATATATTAAGTCACTGTGACCAAGACAATATTTCAGAGGCATCAAGCAGTCCTGATGTGTGCCAAGAGTATGAAGCTAAGCATGCCTGTACCCCATCTTCTCCGATTGGGGTGGAGCCTGAAGACAAAGATAGTCAGCCAGTTCACGCATGGTCAAATATGAATAGAGAGGCAGATTTTGATTCAAAGTGTCAGTTAGTAATGCCAAAGTTAAAGACACAATCTGAAAGTGGTAGCCACCAAGACTATGAACAGGGAGAGACTGGTGAATCCTATCAGCTAATCTCTTCTAATACTCAGGAGCCTCCTGAATTTGCAATTTTGGAAGAATATGCTCCAGAAAATAAACTTGTTACTGACCCAATTGAGTCGGTTGAAATTACCAATGAAGTTTTAGAAGTGACATCCTTAGATCAAAAAGACATGTTCCATGAAAGTTTTACTCCTGCAAGCCATCAAGGAACACCAACTGATACAGCTGAAACAGCAACCTCCCAAATGCATTTGGTTCCCATGGAATTTACTCTACTTGGTAGGGCAGAACAAAGCTTAAAAGAAATTAGTGCCTTGGCTGAAACTGGAAAAGATTCTGATATTGACTATACAGCAATAACTGGTGATGAGCTAGACATGTCAGAAGAATTCATGGATGAATCTGAGACGGGGGTAGAAAATAGCATCAGGAGCATATCAGTGACTAATGTCCCAGCAAGCGCATGTGGTGGAATGAACATACTGACAGTAGTAGGCAGTGAAGTAGCAGAAGAGGAATCAAAGGATGAACAGATATTCTTTTCCAAATCCTTTGTGCCTGGTGGTAAGGAAGGTCATGAGTCTGATTCAAGTAATCCACTGATTGATGACGTAGCAAAAGAGTCTGAAGATGGAACTGAAAATGATGTTCCTGTGTTTAAGGAAATGCCCAGTGATCAGTCAGAAGCGATGTGTACTCCACCATCCTATGTATCTTTTGACGAACCCTCTGGCAGCAGAGAGTGTGCAGAGGATGAGCTCTTGTTACAGCAGCCATTTTGTGACAGTGTTTGTCTGGAAAAACGTTTACCTTTGCCAACACCTTCGGAAGGTGCAGAAGACATCCTAATGACCAAAGACAGCAGCATTAAAGATCAGATGTCTGACACATCCGCAGAGTGCCTTCGGGAAAATCACACATTAGTCCCTTCAGTCTCCGAGTGTGAAGTAACTCCAGGAGCTTCTGAGATTTCGATAGGAAAATCTGAAGCAGAAACAACTGATCACGACTCACCGGCAGGTGGAGATAAAAGATCACCTGATGGTAAGGAAACCTGTTTTCCAGAGCAAGTTCATAGGACAAAGAAAGAAGGAAATGTCTGGAGTATGACTGCTGAATGATGGGGCTTTGATTGAAGTTTGAAGTTTGTGTGTTTCCCTGATGTACAAAACTCTGTACTTTGGGAAGACCTCTAGTATCACTCTTCTAGACAGATCTAAAGCTTTTAAACATTAAAGTAGGAACATTATTTCTGTTGTTTGTACAGGACCTAGCATATGGGACACTGAATCATTTCTCCCTTAGGAATGATTACAATGTTAATGTATAATCTTTAACAATAGTAATCATGATGATGATGTTATAAAATTCAAGTACACATTAACAGAGCAAAGCAAACTGAGAAGAGCTTTATCTCACTGTACTGATTTAAAGAAATCATGGTGACTGAAATAGTAATTCAAAAACTAAAAGGAGTTTCTGTTTGCCTGTTTTTTTAGAAGCTGGCACTGACTCCCTACTTCATAGGGAGAATAAGCTGAGAAATTCCTCTGAGAGCCCTGAGCTGAAAAGTGTGGAGGGTAAGGAAGATGTGAGGATGCAGGTGCACCAAGATCCAACTTCACTGGAGATGGATTACATTGTTGTTGCTGAGGAAGAAAATATACCTTCAGCAAAGGATACCTTTGAAAGAAATGAAAGTGATTTTGCATTTCAGGAAGCTAATGTAGCTGAACAAACAGAATCTCATGAAGACTTTTCACCGGGCTCCTTGGATACCTGTCAGCCAATCTCCATTACAAATGAAAGGGAAGATCACTCTGTTTGTGGGACTGAATGGGACTCTGTTCATTTAGAAGAAAAAAGTTCTTCTGTTGTGCCTCAAAAACTGGATGATGAAAGATCACAGGAAAGTTGTGGGCAAGATGAGGGCTGGATTATATTGGGCCAAAATGAAGTCAGTGACATATCACCTGAAGAAATTTCTGCTGAGTCACAGATGCCAAAATCAGAGTCTGGACATTCTGGCGAAGAACTGGCAGCTGTTTTAGCACAGAAATCGATTCTTGACACTCAGGCAGAATTTCAAGTAGAAACTCCCCTTCAGAAATCTTTTGAACATGAGGGCTGTTCTCCTTCAGGCAGCCTGACCACCAAGGATGAGAGTTTGGGCATTGCGGGAACACGTGTGTTGCAGGTGGTTGGTGGTGATGGTGCACGGGAAGCAAACGCTCAACAGAGACTTGGAAATAACAAAGCAACAGAAAACAATCAGGGTAAGGAAAGACCAACCTGTTTCCTTTCAAGAGTCTTCTTTTCACTTGTTATCAATGTTATCAAAGTGTATGATGTTCTGAATAGATGGCTATCAAAGTGTATGATGTTATGAATAGATGGCAGGACTATCAAGGCTGAAGTACTAATTGTATTTACATAATTTAAGTATCACTATATTCCTCCCTTTGTAAAAAGAGAACCTTGGTTCATGGTATCTTGATATGAGACAAATTAGAATCGTTCTGCAGTGTAGTAAGCTAGTAAGGACACTTCCTTGCAGTAATAAGTTTGTCTTCCTTCTGTGAAGTCCCATAGACTTCATAATCTACCTTTAAATCTGAAACAGATGTGTCCAGGGAACTCAGGCCAAAGCCAGGTGCTGGTGATATTGCCAGTCCAGATTCAACACCAGTGATGAGATTATGGAGGGATGAAAGTGAAGTAGTATCTCTGCCTAATGCAAAACTGCTGAGAAGGAAGACAGGAGGACGTCAAGGCCCAGGGTCAGAAAAAGGTGCTGCTTGTAGAGGAAAGAAAAGGATGATGGAAAATTATGGTCTTTGTGGTTATTTCCAAGTGTTTAGGAGAGGATGCTTCTCTTGTTGACTCCTCATTTTTTACAACCAGGAGGTTGTAGCTGCTACAGCGGACTTCTTGGATAGCCCCTGAGTCTGACCTCATTTCTCCTGAGCATCTGCAACTGACATGCTGCAGTTTTACATGCAGGAATCTGGCATTGCGTTTATACAGTGAAGTTTTTGTGTACAGTAAAGGAAACTTCCCAGTACACATAAAACTAGGGGGTATAACTGCTTTGTACTTGTTATTCCTTTCGAACTGCACTTAACCAAAAGAACATACGTGATATGAAACCTGTGGAAACATATCATTTGTGTGAAATGCAGGACTGATTTTTAATTTTTTTTCAGGTTTCTCCCAAGCACTTGTTAGTTCAGTGTAGAATACATATCACATTCACAACTTCTATTATCAGGTTTTAATTGGCTTGCAGTTCATTTTAGACTTTATTTTTTGAAGTTTTCACTAACAATTTTGCACTTTTAGCAGTAGGCTTTTTTTTTCCCCTTAAAAGTGTCATGCCTCTGTATGACAATATAACCCTGATAACAGCATGTACGAATAGTCTGGGACAGAAAAGCACAGCTTTTTGCTACCCTCCTCCACACCCCAAACAGTTCGCATTTTATTACGATTTCAGGAATGAATAGTTCAATATCTGTGATTTATCTTCCCCCTAACTTGTTAAAATATCTGCTGTCTAAACACATTTTCACAGATTTTCACACATTTTTCAAAGAGTGTATCATTACCACAAGATCAGACACTGTTAGAGCTGAGCTATTTTTAACATACGGTAAGTGCTGGCTTCGTGCTAAACAGAAGCCCCAGTCTCAGAAACTCTGAAATATAATGATGTTATTTGCAGGCTTAAACTTAAACACCTGTATAGGACTTTATGTTTTCTTGACAGACAAAATTTTGAGTCGTATACAGAGCATACTTTGCCCTTGCACACTGCCCCTGGCCAAAATCACTTCAATCTATCTAGACAGACAGCACTGAGGAGAATATGAGATGAGAGGGGCTCTGTTTTTGTAGGGCAGGGAGAGCTTTTATTGATGCAGGTTAGCATTTACTGCCCTCAAGAAAGAGGCAAATCTTCAAAAGGGTTAGGAGAAGATGAGCACTCCCCAGTTCTATATGGTCTGAAGGCTTGGGGAAGAGTGGCTGGAAAGCTGCCTGACAGAAAAGAACCTGGGGGTGTTGGTGGACAGCTGGCTGAATATGAGCCAGCAGTGTGCCCAGGTGGCCAAAAAGGCCAACAGCATCCTGGCTTGTATCAGGAATAGTGTGGTGAGCAGGACAAGGGAAGTGATCATCCCCCTGTACTCGGCACTGGTGAGGCCCCACCTGTTCAGTTTTGGGCCCCTCACTACAAGAAGGACATTGAGGTGTTGGAGCATGTCCAGAGAAGGGCTACAAGGCTGGTGAGGGGTCTGGAGAACAAGTTTTATGAGGAACGACTGAGGGAACTGGGGTTGTTTAGCCTGGAGAAGAGGAGGCTGAGGGGAGACCTTATCATCCTCTACAACTACCTGAAAGGAGGTTGTAGAGAGGTGGGGGCTGACCTCTTCTCC